GAGAGAAATGAGACTTGTCTCGCGAGAAAGGAGAGGAGAGGTGGTAACTTACTTTTGAGCAGTGCTGTACATGCATACAAGGGGGCTTTGTAATAAGGTTGCTTATTAGTGATGTTATGAAATTTTGACCCCCAGTGTGAGGATCATTCAGGGACCTAGCTATGATCGTGATGTCATCTATTTTTAGTAACAGTGCAGAGCACTACTGACATGGAGGGGTGGAGTTGGTGATATATCCAAGGGAGGGGGTTGTGATTCTATCGTTAATAGTGTTGCATGGTGATGTGTTGTCCCAGTGAGTAGTGCAGTATAATGCATTTGCACAGTCTTGTACTTTGTCTTTTGCCATATTAAATGGAGAATTATTGAATAAGGTATGAAAGGCAATGAACATGTGCTCAGTTCACATTGTTGTTTCTCATTTCAGCGTGGTCCAAACCAAGAGCCTTATGCAGCGGCAGTTTTTGTGGCCATCATTGCCATATCATTCATTATGATCGGTAACTTGAATGCTCTCGCACCCATTGTCACCATGCCATTTCTTCTGACATATGCTGCAATCGACTATGCCTACTTTAAGCTGGCTATGAGTTACGACATAAGGCAGCAACAGAAGTTAGCTGAACGAAAGCCTCAAGATTTGAAAAAGTCAGCTGAGACCCGATTGATCTCATCTGAAAACAAAGGGAATGGAAAGAAGATGAGTTATGGCAGTGATACTTTTGAGAAGCATGATTTTGGAGAACTTAACCAACAAGATGCCATGGAGAAAGACGATTCTCAAGAGAAGGAAAATGTTAATAAAGATGATAGCTTTTCAGATTATAGCTCGCCTCTGGATATGGGACAGAATATGGGAGAAACAAAAGTAGATGTTCAAGCTGAAGATGCAGGTGTAGAAAGAGACCGTGATGTAGACGATGATACAACAAACCTGATAGAGAAAGAAAGCAACAAGGAAAAGAATAGACAAGAAGAAACAAAGGATGCAAAGTACTATGAGGCAGAAACCCGTGAGGAAAGAAAAGGTAAGAACTTTTGAAATTGAGAGTCTACATGGTTTAGCTGTGTTGTGTCTGTCAGAGGCACTGGCTGCAATGCAATCAAAAGTCCTTGGGACACTTGAAAAGATAGCACCCAGTGACAAATACAATTACATTGTATGCTGAGAAGTCATTGATAAACATTTGAAGAGCTGCCCCCCCCNCTCCCCCCCCCCTAGTTCAAAATGAAATGAATTCAACATATTAAGATGTTTTAAAGCTTAATAACAAAGCAGGATTTGAAAAACGACAAAAAGTATGCGAAAAACGTATTTGGATCAACACTGCTGTAGCTCATTTTAAAGCTTATTTTTATTCTGCTTATAAGCCTTCACGGATAGGATATAAGCCCCTCTATTTATACATGTAAGCCCATCCAAAATTCCTTATGAAGTTGTACATACATAAGCCCAGGGCTTATAAGCAGTAGTTTACAGTATTTTAACAGAGTTGGGGGTGGGGTGGTGAGGTGAGCCATCATTTGCTAGCCAAATGGTGAAGTATTCCAAGACTTTTGTACCAGATTTTAGCTTTTTTAGAAGGCTTTGACTTCAGTCCAGGGATGAAAGATGACTGACAGTTGCTATTCCTTTAAAGTACAGATTAATACAGGTAATTGATAAACTGGGATGGGTCTATGTACTAATTCTAATGCAGTAGCACTAGCAAGTGGTGACATTACCAAGGTCTATTACGGTACACTAATATGAGCGGTCTTTCCCCATATTCAGAACACAGAAAGAAGGAGGACTATTACAACGAAGAACACCAGATCAAGTGGGAGATAGAGAAACAACCATCTTCTTATTATTCAGATTTATGTAACAGATGGGTGTCACTGGCAGGGGTGAGTATTAAAAATTGAGTACTTTGCAGGAAGTCCCCCCNCACCACCTTTGAAAATCAAGATTTCGTTACATGTTAATAAAGAGAGAAATAAAAAATCCCAGATGACAAGACGTTGCTGCATAGCCCCTTTATTCCCCCACCCCCAAAGAAAAAAAAATTTGCTGATGGTTATTGGGATTGCTATTTACAAGCACTACTAAACCTTGTTTTCATTTACTTTCAACACACTTATTTTGCATACTCAGAAGCAATTGTGAATGTGAAGTTAATGAAAGTACAGGTTGCAGGGTCTGAATTTGCGCTTTCACGGTCACCAATGTAACTAAAAATTTTGCACCGGCTACCAGAATTTCACAACTGGTCGCCAGAGGGTGATTTACTATTTCATGCCACGATAATTATACAAACAATGACTGTGATTTTCAGCCAAATCGATTAAAATAAAATTCAAAGTCACCCGTCAATTGGTCACTTACTTTTTACCTTTCCACTGCTTTTGAAGTATAAAACTGATTTTCCTGTTATTATAAATCTACCACAATGTTTCACAGCTACGATCAGTGCGAAGCTACGCCGCCATGTTTTTCAGCGGTTTCCCATAACATACGTATTGCGGGCACAACAGGCCCCATGCGTTCTTTCGACATGGATATTTATCCAGGTGATGTGGTGTCCAAAGATGTTCTGAAATCTTTCTGTAATTTATGACAAAGTGGAGAGGGAACATCCGCAAAGAAATTACTTGAAGATTTAGATATTCTCTGGGCGTCAAAAGGTGGAAATGTAGATCTGTCAAAGCAGTCAATAGATGACGTGAGCATTGGTTTGATTCCTGATGACATCGATTGCAAATCTGATTTTGCCGGCAAGCCGGTGGTGACCAAAAATTTTGGTTTGTGTTTTGCTGCGAAGGAAAAATTTTATTGACACTTTTTGGCGACCACATTTTCCCATATGGCAACTAAAAAAACATTTCAGTTGCCAGTTGGCGCCTGCCTAAAAAAGTTAATTTCGGACCCTAGATTGGCTGCTGTGGTGATTTTGGAAATTAAGCTGGCTTTCCTATTTTTGATTGTAATTCATTTTATTTCACTTTACAGGCATTTGCCAGTGTGCTGATAATGTTCCTTATTAACTGGGGATATGCACTGGCTAACATTTCTGTGGCATTATTAGTCTACATATATATTGGTCAGGCCAACCCAGGACTGTCGAAAGGTAAGGAGGTTACTTGATAGATACAGAGTTAGCAACAATTAGCAGTAGTCTCAGTTTGCGGTCTGAGATGCAGATGGAGTAGGATTCCATGTGCTCTGGGACCGAAGTGCATTGTAGTGTGTGTTCTCTTGAGTGTTAGCGTTTTCTTGAGTGTGGAGGCTCTTCCCATAGGCTGTCCATCCCTCTCTCCACTCATACAGGGTAAATGGGTTAACCTCACAGCGTTTTGAGATGATTCTATGAAAACCAAGTCCAACTGATTCCATTGTTCACAGAAAAATAGGCAAGTT